GGGGTGGGTTGGTGGTATGTCCCTGGGGCGAGGGGGTGGGAAAACCGAACCTGTTCCTGCAGCTGGTGAGGTGGTGGAGGGGATGTGGTTGGGTGCTACCCTGTGGATTTCTGGTTTGTCGAGGTAGAGTTGGCTGAGAGCCTGGCGTCAGGAGCTGAGCCCAGAGCGAGTCAGGGTGGCCTACGTCAGCCCCTTGGTGCTGAGGAAGGAGCTGGAGAGCCTGATGGAGAACGAGGGAGACTCGGTGCTGTCCCAGGCAGAATTCGTTGACAACCATCCCATAATATTCTGGAACCTGGTTTGGTATTTCCACCGTCTCGAGCTCCCCCATAACCTCCTTCGGCTGGTGCTGACATCGCAGCACGTTAAACCACAGCCCCAGGTAAGCACAGGCATGTGGAGGGGCTGGGGGTCTCACCTTCCACATGGGCCAGATCAGCAAAACAGGGGCATGGAGACCCGCTGGGCACACACATTGGCACTGGCTTACATTATGGTGTGTTCCAGTGCCGACCATTCTGCTGATCATAGAATGGTGCAGTACAGAAGAGGCCCTTCGGCCCATCGACTCTGCACTGACTAACAAACTGAATCCACACGAGTCCCATAGCCTTGAACCTTATGAGGTTTCCAGTGTTCATCCAGGTACTTGTTAAAGGTTGTGAGGTTTCTTCCCTCAACAACTCTCCCTGACAGTGTGCTCCAGACCCCACCACCCTGTGGGGAGGCAACAAGTTTCTCAAATCCCCTCTAAACCTCCTGCCTTTCACTTTAAAATGATGCCCACTTCTCATTGACCCTTCAGCTAACGGGAACAACTGCTCTCTATTCATCCAGTCCATACCCCTGGGCAGTGATCCAGTGCCCACAGTGCGGCTGGGTTACACTGGGCTGTGATCCAATGCCCACAGTGCGGCTGGGTTACACTGGGCAGTGCTCACAGTGTAGCAGGGTTACACTGGGCTGTGATCCAGTGCCCACACAACGGCTGGGTTACACTGGGCAGTGATCCAGTGCCCACACTATGGCTGGGTTACACTGGGCAGTGACCCAATACCCCAAGTGTGGCTGGGTTACACTGGGCAGTGATCCAGTGCCAACAGTGCGGCTGGGTTACACTGGCAGTGATCCAATGCCCACAGTGCGGCTGGGTTACGCTGGGCAGTGATCCAGTGCCCACAGTGTGGCTGGGTTACACTGGGCA